TGTTGATTCGGAAGTACTGCCAAAATGGGTTGTGGAATGTAGCTTTGGAAGAGCTGGGGAGGCTTAAGGATATCGGATACAAGCCAACTCAAGCAACTTACAATGCTTAAGTTCAAGTGGTTCTAGAAGCAGATAAGTTGGACACAGCACACTTGGTCCATGTGGAGATGTTGGATTCAGGGTTTAAGATGGATGAGTATACATTTGGTTCATTTGTTCACACCCTTTGCAAAGCTGGGAGGTGGAAGGAAGCTCTCGCATTGGTTGAGACGGAAGAGTTTGTGCCCAATACTATTCTTTAGACGAACATGATATCTGGGTTGTGCGAAGCTTCACTTGTTGAGGAAGCTAAGGATTTTTTGAACAGAATGCGATGCGATTCTTGCATTCCTAATGTTGTGACCTATAGGACTTTGCTTTGTGGGTGTTTGAAGAAAAGACAGCTCGGTAGGTGCAAGAGAATTCTTAGTAGGATGATCACAGAAGGTCGTATTCCAAGCCCTCAGATATTTAGTTCTCTTGTACATGCTTATTGTAGGTCCGGAGATCACTCTTATGCTCATAAGTTACTTAAGAAAATGGTAAGATGTGAGTGCCAGACAGGCTACGTGGTTTACAATATCTTGATTGATGGTAAGATGTTAGATTTGTCTGAAAAAGCTTATGGCGAGATGCTTGATGCAGGGGTTATGCTAAGTAAGGTCAATGTGAGCAATTTTGCATGGTGTCTTTGCGGTGCCGGAAAATTTGAGAAAGCCTATAAGGTTGTCAGCGAAATGATGAACAGGGGTTTTGTTCCTGACACTAATACGTATGCTAATGTTATTGGCTTTTTGTGTAATGCCTCCAAGGTAGAACAAGCATTTTTGTTGTTTAAAGAAATGAAAAGGAATAGTATTGTTCCTGATGTCTATACCTATACTATTTTAATTGATAGTTTTTGTAAAGCTGGTCTTATTGAACAATCTCGGAGCTGGTTTAATGAAATGATACGAAATGGTTGTGCTCCAAACGTGGTGACATATACTGCTCTTATACATGCATACCTTAAAGCAAAGAAGGTGTCTGATGCTGATCAACTCTTTGAGATGATGTTGGCTGAAGGTTGCAGTCCTAATGTTATTACTTATACTGCTTTAATTGATGGTCATTGTAAAGCTGGTAGAATTGAAAAGGCTTGCCAGATATATGAGAGAATGAGAGGTAATGTGGACGTCCCTGATGTTGATGTGGGGCTTTGGTGGATGGTTTATGCAAAGCACACAAGGTTAAAGAGGCCCGTGATTTATTGCATGCTATGTCAGAAGAAGGTTGTGAACCTAACCATATTAGTTATGATGCTCTTATAGATGGATTTTGCAAGCATGGGAAGCTAGATGAAGCACAAGAGGTGTTTGCTAAGATGTCAGAGCAAGGGTACAGTCCAAATGTGTATACGTACAGTTCTTTGATTGATAGGTTGTTTAAGGATAAAAGACTGGATCTCGCTTCAAAAGTCTTGTCCAAAATGTTAGAACACTCTTGTGCACCAAATGTTGTTATCTACACAGAGATGATTGATGCCCTGTGTAAAGTTGGAAAAACAGATGAAGCCTATAAGCTTATGCTGATGATGGAAGAAAAAGGGTGTTATCCGAATGTTGTGACTTATACCGCAATGATAGATGGCTTTGGGAAAGCAGGTAATATCGAAAAGTGTGTTGAGCTTTTTAAACAAATGAGCTCTGAGGGTTGTGCTCCAAATTTTATCTCCTAGGGGGTTTTGATAAATCATTGCTGTTCAACTGGACTACTGGATGAAGCTCATAAGCTTTTGGATGAAATGAAACAAACACATTGGCCTAAGCATATGGTAGGCTACTGTAATGTTATTGAAGGTTACAATAGAGAGTTCATGACCTCTCTTGGGCTTTCAAATGAGATGAGTGAATGTGACACAGTGCCAATTACTCACATATACGAAGTTCTGATTGATAATTTTGTAAAGGCTGGAATGTTGGAAGTGGCTCTTGAGCTGCTTAAAGAGATTTCGTCATCTTCACCGTTTACATCTGTGAACAAGAATATGTACACTTCATTGATTGAGAGTCTTTCACATGCAAATAAGGTCGGTAAGGCACTGGAGATGTTTGCAGACATGATGAGGCATGGTGGTTTTCCAGAGCTGGATACATTCTTTCATCTTATTAAAGGGCTTATTAAAGCTAACAATTGGGACGAAGCTCTTCAACTACAGATAGCATATGCCACATGGTTTGTCTCTCTAATTCGTCTTTTCTTCCATACTGTAGTTTTCAACTATTTCTATTACATGAAAATGTCTTTTTCCTCTTTATGTATATTTTCAATCATTTCTTTTCTTTATTTGGTTCTATCTTTTAGGTGGGAATATGATACATTTAATGCCCTAGAAAATGACAAAAAAATAAAAATAAAAAATTCCTATGGCTTTTATTTCTTAGGCCTTTACCTTTATATCCCTAAGCCCCACAATCAAACCCTAACCAAATAAACCTCAATCCAGTGCTCATAAAGAATTGTGCATAGAGAACATCTAATTTGCATTTAAGAAATATTGCATCGATAAAACATTGAACTACTTCTATACTGGTTTTAATTTTGAGAAGTGTTGAATTTAATGTGACATTTTGTGTTGTGTGAGCACATGCACAATTAAGGAAGCACGGTAACAAGTCTATTTGTTTCTGTATCAGCATGTAAATTTTATGAGTGGCCATGCATTTTACATCTGTGCATGGACCTTTAAGCCATTATTGACTATTTAAAGGAATGAATTAAGAAAATGTGACAATATTGGAACTCATGGACAACTACTTGAATGAATTGTTTGTTTGTGTATCTTATGTTGAATGGTTTGGCCAACTTGTCTGTTCAGGAGCATTTTTGTTCTTATCTCTCAACTTTGCCTTACTGTCTCGGTAGCATTTCGCATAAGTGCCTTCTGATTTGTTGTGGATGACCTATCTTACTATGCTGCAGTATGTGATTGAGCTGCCTCAAGCTGTAAATTTACAGTATCTACCTATAAGTTGTCTTTTGTGCTTTTTTAAGGCTTGTAAAGACCCTTTCTGTAGCATTTAGAGGTTAGTCCAGAATTTTAGATTCATTTTGGAAAGATCTTTGAAACATAATGATCACACAGATCTTTGATACCACAGTAGTAACCAGTAGGATTGCTTCTGCTCTCTAGTTCTTACGTTGGCTTCTTTTTTTCCTTTTTTTTTTTTTTTTAAAAAACAGAACAATTTTTTTTTTATCCCAAAATTTCTATTTAATGACTTTAGATGATATGCTTTATTTATTTTGTTTTATCAATTTTTAAAACTATTATCAAGAGGTAATCTATGCTTGTTTGGTGCAAACTTCAATAGTATGGGAAGCTGTAATCTGAAACAGTTGGTGCTGCGGATATCTAATTGCCTCTGCTTGTCACTGTAAATTATTTGTTTTTGTTTTTTATTGTTCTTATATATCTCAATTATTTGCACAGGATATCCATTGGCATATGAAAGAATAGACATCTGACAGAAATTAGGGTGTTTTCTAGACCATCATTGTTTGTTACTCATGCACCATCTGATGACTCACTGGACCTGGTGACCTGGTTGACGGTTCTGTTGAGGAGTGGAGTGCATTTCTATCAGAGTCCGTGTGCAAGTATATGCAACATGAGGATGTGAATGAATGTTGCTTGCTTAATGAAGGGACTACATTTTTACTCCACTTTGTGAAGCGGCTAGAAATTCAAGAAAACTAGAACTTTTATCTCCTACCTATTCAGAGGAGGTATGTCATCTTATATAATTTCATAGCATGGTTACCCCAAAATCTTGAGAATGCAGGATCCAATACCAATATATCTCCATGATGCCTTCATGGATATCAGATATTCCAAATCTGTATCTTGTTAATTTCTTGGAAATTTTGATTTTTGGGTATGGGATGGATATGTGTGAGGCATATACGATGGATACACAAGGGATACAAGCAAGAGTACAAGGGGTTATTTGTAAAATTTCTATAGAAGAAATGGGGGGGTAGGATTGAAAAAGGGCATCTTGGTGGGCATTTTAAGATGTTAAATAAGTTAATATGAAAACAAAACAATTCGTTAGAATCTTATTTGATTGTAATATTCCTTGTGGTCTTCATATCTAGTTTTTGGAAAATTGTGATTTTGCAGTATCAACTCACATTTCCTAAATTGTATCCATACGACACAGTTTCGATGTTCTGCACCAAGGCTTTCAGATGATGCTGCTTAATGAGAATATGCAGCAGGTCTCTGCTGCTAGAATTTATTTACTGCTCCAAAGCCATTTTCATGGTGAATCATCAGAAGGTCAGAAATTCAGGTTTTTATTATTCATATCTCTGCACTTGTTTAAATGCATCGTTGTTCACATACTTATGTACTAGGTACAGATAATTCACTATGTTATTTGCTACTTCAACATGGCAAGAATGATATTGCGCAGCTCTATTACTTACTGCTGTTGTTGCTCGTTGAGTGAGCAGGTTGGTGACGTGGAATTGAGTTCACGGGAAGTTGTATTTGATTTCCAATCAATCATATCAAGGTAGTAGTGTTATTAAAATATCCATTTCATAGTTTTGTTGGTATCTAGGATATGCATGAAAACAAAACAGTATTGTTCGAAAAACAGTTTACAGGATGAAATTTCTGTATGAGCTTGAACTTATTTTGCCTAGTTACTCTTACAGCAATTACTTATGAGTTATGAATTGAGTGTAATAAGGATTATGTGATCAGAGCTGCGTTTGGAAATTCTCCACAAGATCTCATAGGGTGTCTAATTTCAAATTGCAGGCATTATACAGATGCGAGAAGCTCCAGTCAAACTTCCTCATAATGACAAAGATGCCAGAAAAGTATGTCTGGGTGTGTTCGGTGATTAGTAAGTGTGCTGGAATTGTATCGAAGATGTTGAAATTGTGAACTTGAATGCAGATAGAGCATGTCTTACCAGCAGGGCTATCAGTTCGATTATATGGCGGATGGAGGGGACATGTCTGATTTTGTCAAGGATGTGGAGGAAGAAAATCAAGGTGGAGATATGGGTCTTGATGAGTATGACATGGTTTGTTTCCATCAACTCTTGGCTCCCATTGTTCAATCCTTTTTTTTTCCTGTTGTACTAAATGGACTTGAAATCCCTTGTTCTTGAATTTGAGCAGCTTACCAAAGTGTCAGATACGTCATCTGCACAAGCGAGAAAGGGAAAGGACATTCAAGGTATTCCATGGGACAGATTGAAGATAACAAGGGAAAAATACAGATTGACGAGGCTAGAACAGTACAGGAATTATGAGAACATCCCTTTATCTGGGGAAGCTGTGGACAAGGTTTTCTTCTTGTTCTCGAGCATTTTCTTCATTTCATTTCATTTCCCCAATTAGCAAGTCACTATTGAAGTTAGCAGACGTCACTGATAATATGTGTTAACTTTGACCAGGAGTGCAAACAAATGCAGCAAGGTGGAAATTACTATGACTTATTCCATAATACAAGACTGGTTAAACCTACAATCCTTTATTTCCAGGTTTGGAATTTGTCTGAGGTTCTCAATTTTGCAGGACATGTTGCCCCAACAGAGGTAGTACAACCTCCTGTACATAATTTGTATGATCTAGTTTCTTTGAAAGAAAATAAAGTAATCAAATGGATTGTTTTTCATTTTTTTTCAGCTTTTGTTGGTTTATGCTCTCTCCTTCCCCCTCCCAATTATGTTACTTACGTTGAAGTGTTCCTTATAATTGCTATTTGTCCTCTACTTATGTCCATAGTTTAAGATTGCCAAGTTCTATGGTCTTGCAGAAACATGCAGGAAGTTTATTGGAGGGTTTTATGCAGACTCAGATAAGCACACTGGCAGTCAAGGACAATTTTCTTGTTGCTGGTGGCTTTTAAGGAGAGTTTACTTGTAAAGTGAGTTTCTAATGTTTACATCTCAATAGCGTGTTGACAGTGCATGGCTGTTTGATGAGAGTTAAGTATTTCCACATTAGACGTATTGTTTGGTAAATCTGACAATTAGACTTGTCTGGGATCCTGCCATTCTGATGATTTTGCTTTGCCATTGACTTGTCAAGAAAAGAGCGAATGCCATTAGCTGGCTGGAAATTTGGTTACCGTATTTGATCTTGGAAAATTACTTCTTTTTGGGGTAGAGATATGACCTCGCTACCAGAGTTTTAACTCCAGTTTTGTTTGTCCTTTACCAATCAGAACAACTGGCAATAGCGGCTTTCAGGGGAGTCAGACATGAATAGCTTGGTTTTTATATTATGAGCTATGTTGTGTGGTGCTTGTAATTTCTGTCTTGAAATTAATACTTTCTACCTAGGAAAACAAAAATGAATTTTGTAATAATATTATTAACTTTTGTGAAAGGGGTGGTTAATATTTATTTTTTACACGTTGTATTGAGTGTGAGTACCATTTTGTACACAAGATTGTTGCATGTAGAAGCTGAGATTCTAGTATGGACAGGGAATTTTCTAAATATCTTGTAAAATGTTTGACTGAATTTAAGTTAAATGAAATGTAAGAACCGACTAATATTGGATATCAGTGACAGTGTGCCAGTAAGTGTTTGTTGAAGTATGTGAAAACTTTTTGGAATAGTCTTGAGGTTGAGGGTAATGGAAGCTGTTCTTGGATAGGCAACTTAAGAGACACCTTCTGGACTTGAACCTGGAACAAATGCTGGTTAGGAATTAGATTAGGAAAGTGCATAACTAATCCGGTGTACTAGGATCCGCACTGAGCTCAGTTTTTGGATAAGGAAAGTGGTTTTGTTGCTCTTTTGTTGTACTACTAGTAAGAATGGTTTGACCTAGTCCGTGCATTCATATCTTTGGTTTCCGCAATGGTTTGTTAATGAAATGATTAAATTCAACCGATGTGGTAGCTACTGATGGCATTTTAGGCGCTCATTTCTTGTTGGATGTAATTTGTTTCTTGTAATTCTATATTTGTCATTATCAGATGCAAACTAGCGCTTTAGTCTGTTGAAGGATTATTTTTCTGGTTAATGTTGAGTTAAGTATGGTTAATGTTCAGTTAAGTATTAAATCATATTTTTCTGTCTTTATCTGCAGTCTCTTGATAAACAAGGAGTAAGCCATCATAAATATACGATAGATTGGGGTATTTTAGCTAGTTCTGAAAATCTGTTCGTCTGAATTTTTTCTTTTAATAAAACACAACTTGATATAGAAACGCTTTTTCAGGGGTGGAATGCATTTCATGGCATCCAATAATGACTGCGGCATAAGAGAATATGACATGGAGAAGTTTCAGCTTTTGAATCACTTTCGTTTCCCTTGGCCAGTGAATGTGAGTCATCCTAAGAACTTAATTGATATGGATGGTTTCGGTCAGATAAACTTACCCACCTTTTTCTATTTCTATACTAAGAATCTACATATTTGTCTTTACACTTTCACTTTCTGTGAGTTTCATTGACTCCAACCTCCCTAGATATTAATATTAGAAGGCTAAGTTGTGCATTGAAGAGTATTATTTCTGATATATTTGGAAATTGTTGAGATGTCAACTAGGAAGTCAAGCTTTCAAATCAGTTTTATTTTGTTCAATTGGTTGTGCTGAGGACAAGGACAATTTTTAAAATAAAAGGAAATTGGTGACTGGTGTAGGTCGCAGACTAATTTCATATTTTGGTTTAGCTTGATGGACATTTCGTTCTTTTATAGATAAATTGAAGCAATTTTCCTTTTCAGCTAATGACATAGGAACAATTTTCCTCTCCAACTAAGGTCGATGCCACTTGCCAAATTTTTCTTCATTGACCGTCTCCTTAAAAGCACAAAATGTTGATTGAGCCAATCCTAGTATTGAAAATATTTTGCAGACTTCAAACAAATTACCTCTTTGAAATAGAAGAGTGCAATATACTTAAGTGCTTGTAAACTGGAAGTGATCTGCAATTGCTTAAACTGGAATTAATGTGTTGGTTTCTGTGGTTATTCCTCCCATAACTCCTTTTCTTAACGTGGAGCTGACCTTATTTGCAGCATACATCAATAAGCCCAGATTGTAGGCTTGTTGCGGTTGTTGGTGATCATGTAGATGCATTGCTCATGGATTCGCAGAATGGGAAGGATCTTTTTTCTGATCATGATACTCTTGTCTGCAACTTATTTTGTTGCGTTTCTTTCCGTAGAAATATTTTTGCTAATAAGATGAGGTAAACTGTTTGAAAATTGAACGCGAGACATGTAGACTTTGAGGAAATGGTTAATGGTGGAAAAATACGATAACAGATTTTTGCTTACACAGTTGTTTTTATAATTGTTCAGCGTGGAGATGTCTACTTTTTGTTTATTTTTTAGTATAACTTAACTTCGTGTTAGCAGAGCAGTTGTGCTTCTAAATTCCAAATTTACACCTAAAAGCATTTTCCAGGTTTTATTTTCAAAGATGGGAACAGTTTACTAACTATATACAACTTTGCTTTTTTTTTTTTTTTTTTTTTTTTGTCATTTCAGACTATTGCTAAGGTCGTTGGTCATCTGGATTACTCTTTTGCGTCAGCATGGCATCCTGATGGTCGCATATTTGCCACCGGAAACCAGGACAAGACTTCCCGAGTCTGGGACATAAGAAATCTTTCATTGCCAGTTGCCGTTCTGAAGAATAACTTTGGTGCTGCTAGGTCAATTCGCTTTTCATCAGATGGTCAGTTCATGGTGGTCGTGGAACCTGCATATTTTGTGCATATATATAGCACAAAGGCAGATTACAAAGGGCGGCAAGAGATTGATTTCTTTGGGGAGATATCCGGTGCATCAATGAGTCCTGATGATGAGTCTCTGTATATAGGAATCTGGGACCGAACATACGCCAGCTTGCTACAGTATAACAGAAGGCATACGTACGGATATCTGGATTCTTATTTTTGATCCTTTTGGCGAAGGGCTGTCCATCAGTGTTGGCAATGTGATTTTCTCAGAAGTTAAAAGCAGAAAGAGTGCTCTGAGGTTGCAGTTTACGAACTCTTTGTTTTTAACTATTTTTTGTGTGTAGGTTAGTTTGATAAACCAAGTTTAAAGTTGGAATAAGCCACTGATTGATTAGAATTTAGAATTTGTACAGTGATGTGAAACCCTTGTTTGTTAAGACATTTCCTGATAAACCCATTTTTTGCTTTTTCCTAATCTTTTCTTCTTCTCTTTTTCGCTGTTCCTTGTGCCTTTTCCTGTAGCAAAGTGAAATACAACAATTTTGTTCAATAGTTCCGGACCGCTTGGTAGTCTAGGAAATAAGCGTGAAGGGTTACTTTAAGAAATCTTTTTCATCTTTGTCATTCATTTTCCGGACTACTCAGTAGTCTCCAATTATTGAAGACAAGCCCGAAATACAATATGTGATATCGTCAAGTATGTTTGTTAACTGTTTTTGTTTTTATTTTTTATTTTTTGTATTATATATATGAAACATTTTTTGTACTTTTAAGTGTTTTTGTTATAGGTTATTTTAAAAACACTTCCAAACGAGCTCTTAACCTCAATGCTTCATGCTCTTAATTTTATACTCTCTTTTTTTATCATTTGTAATAACTAATCATGAATGATTAGAGTTCTACAGTATAATTCTTGGATTGCATTGTTTAAGAGCATATCCAAGAGAAGCTCTAAATTTTCGTTAAACAAGATAATAAACAATGTTAAAAAATTAATTTAGCTACTCAACTCAACTTTTCATTTATAGCAACACTCTATATTTTAACGAACTTTGAATATTTTACTATTAACAATTCAAACTCAACCCACTTATTTTTTAAAACAATCTTATGTCTCTTTTTTTCTCCTAACTCAAGGCTAGAGTCTTATTATTTTTTTAATATTTAGCTGATGAACAGTTACTCTATAAATTTAAAAAGTGACTGTTCAGTTTGCCATAAGAGAGATTCTTTTATGAAGTTACGTGTTTTATTTATTTATTTATTTTTATTTTTAATTTGACTCTTTAATTTAAACCACATTACTCCTCCACCCTTCTTAGTGTAGATACTATATCGTTTTTCCAAAAAATAGAATTTTGGTTATTTTGCAGCATCTCTTCAAGATGCTTTGACACCGAATTTGGACTCGTCTAATTATCATGGTGCATTCATCATATTTAATTTTAAAATGGTTCATATTTTCATTTAAGTTCATGATTAGTCTTACATTAAGTTTATGCTTAGTAACCTCTTCATGGAAGGTAGAAGGTTGTTCCATGCCTAACTATGTAAAACCACTACTTACGTATGGAAATACAATTATTCAGAAATTAAGAATTACTTTTAAACTTGGTTTAGTGAAGAGTGTTTTTCTTCCTATCCATAAACTCTTATCTCTTTGGTGGATTCCTTAGAGTGGCGAATTGTTTATCTTCGAGTATTCAATTGTGGGTTCTCTTTGATCTCTGTTATCCGGTGTCATGCTCTAATTCATCTGTGGTGCCAATGAAATGTAAAAAGGGTAAGGTTATGAAATTGATGAAACTGCAAATCTATCTGTAAGAGTAAGATTAGTGTGAGTCATCTCTGCACTGTCATAATGGAACTAGAAGCCAAGTTTCTCTTGTAGTAAAAATACAGAGGAACCCCACTGCTCCTGATACACCCCGACCGAAATCAAGGCGTGTCGGCTAGCATAGCTCGATTCGGGATCCTAGTGGACATTCCGGGTCGGGCCTGGGATGTGGTGGACCCCGGGTCGGGATGCGACATCTCCACTATCTAGTTAAGACTGTTGATGGAACAAAAATTCTTGGATGTTACTCCGAATGTTTTAACCATTAGATCTTGATTTACTCCTTCCCTCGACCGTGACACTGACAGCGATGCAAAGTGAGGAGGCGAGTGGGCTGGTAGTATCTCTATAAATATATGATGGGCCTAATTTGCCTTTCAATCCAAGAACTGGTAGTATCTCTGTAAATAAGTACATGAGGGGCTATGAAATGATACGTTCCCGTGCCACAAACAAGTACTTACTACAGGATCTTGTTGCACATCTTTGGGCCAGAAGAAACATGGAGTAGGTGTTTAAGTTTTATGTTGTTAAATGTTTTAAAAAATGTTGTTTAAATTTCATGTTGTTTAATGTTTTTTTTACGTTGGTTAATGTTATTTAATGTTTTTTCATATTGTTTAATGTTGTTTCATGTTACTTAATTTAATTTAATGTTGTACAATGGCTTAAGAAGTTATAGGAAAAAAAAGAGAATTTAAAAAAAAATATGAAACAAATTTTGTAAAATAAAAGTTATAGGAAAAAAATGGAATTTAAAAAAAATATGAAACAAATTTTGTAAAATAGAAGTTATAGGAAAAAATGGAATTTAAAAAAAATATGAAATAAATTTTGTAAAATAGAGGTTATAAAAAAAAAAAGAATTTAAAAATAGAAGTTATAGGAAAAAAAATTTGTAAATAAAAAAAAATTCAAAAATAACAGTTAGTTGACGTCAACTAGCCGTTGGATTAAAAAATTTGTTTAAGAATTCCTATCAGATATAACCGACAAGATTAATAACAATGTTGTCGGATACTATCGGATATAACCGACAAGAATAATAACAATGTTGTTGGTTATATCCGACAACAATTCTTAAATTTCTGGCTAGCCCCGAGCAAGCTGGCTAGCTGGATTGGGTCAGCCCTTGGGCACTTTTAGATTCTATGGGGCCCACGAGCCCTCCGGCCTGGCCCTCGGTTGGAGGTGATTTTCAGGCTATTTTCGGTCCTCTGGACCATTTGGTTGGAGATGGCCTTAATAGAGGAGAAATGAAATCTTATGGGTGGAGCTTGGATTATTTAAGGTGTTTGGTATCTATACCACCCACTCTCAAATCCATCAAAATCCATCATTCACTAAAATCCTTGCAAATCTTTGATATAATTTTTCATTGCACCTGGACTCTTGTGGACTTTTTAAAATCATAATCGACTACCTATGAATTTGGATGTATTCTTTAAAATCATTTAAAATCTTAATTTGACTATACATGGATTTCAAAATCTTTTAAAATCTAATTGACTAAACCCGGATTTTAAAGTCTTATTAAAATACTATCAAGTCCTATCAAATCCAAATTTGACTACACCTTCCTAAGAGTATCTTCAAATGAGATGTCAAATATAATATGTCAAAATTTTATTTGATGACTGATGTGGCAAATTGAATACAAGTACTAAATCCTTTTTTTTTCGAATGCATGTGTCAAATATTTATTTTATTATTTTATTGGGCCTAGTGTTATATTAACTATTAAAAAAATAATCAAAATTAGTTTTAGTTTTTATTCTATTGGTTGTTAACATGACTCTGCATTAAAAATTTAAATTAAATTATTTGACTCTTTCTTTGTTTGATGTAAAAAAAGGCAACTAGAAAGTAAGGAGTCAAATGACTCATATGCCACATAATATATGACATATCCATAGGAGAACACTTGAATGTCTTTTTATCCTATTTGACATATTTGACATCTCCTTTGAAGAAGGTCTAACGTTCTTTTTGATACAATGTCATGTCCCGATTTCAAGATAGGTCTAGGATTGACACATAATTTTAAGACGTAACTGTATAACTTATACAACCAAAACACTTAAAACATAATTTACATATTGGTAAGGTCTATCCCACTTACATACAATGCAAAAAGTCTGCAAAATATGACAGTAAGGTAAAAGGTTAACCTAACCACTCCAAGCGCTCAATTTCTCAGGGAGTAGGATTCTCTCTCTTCTTTTTTTCTCTTCCCTTCTCTCCCCTTCTCTCCCCTCCTATTTGAATGGTCACGGTTAAACCACGTCAACATCTTATATTAATTTTTTATAGAATGAGAAAGACAAAATAGATAATGTGAGAGGAGGAGATGAAAGGGGTTGGGAAGAGGATGAGAGAGAATCCTAATTCATTTCCTAGCATTGCTACTCAAGACACCTTGTACATATCAACATTTATGAACCTTCAAAATGGCTCTCTACACAGTGGTAATAGTACATCGCAAAAAACAAAAACCCAAATAAGCTATAAAGATGGTGTGAATGATAGTAAACGCATGTGATTGAAAAGTTAATTGATCTCATTTATAAAACATGGACAATTTGCGTATATAAAATATCTTAACTCACAAAATTAATTGAAGAATCCTTAAAGACAATCAACCAGCTTTCCTTTCATACATACATTAAAATAATAGGAGCAACACACTCACAAACATTCTACATTCGAGATCTCATGAAATCAAATAGATCAAATACACAAGAACTAACATAAATCATAATGTTTCGCCTTCCAGACGCACTCATGGAATCAGATAGAATTGACATACAAGATAAGAAGTAGGATTCCAGACTCACTCTATAGAATCCATAAGATGAACGTTCTAGACGCATCCAATAGAATCGCATAATGCATCTAAACACACTCGGAACCTAACAAAATGTAAGGTTCCAGATGAACCCGATGGAATTGTACAAAATGTAGAGATCTAGACACACTTAGACTTAACAAAATGTAAAGATCCAGACGCACTCAGTGGCATCCATACATAGAGTATTAGTAGGATTCCAGACGCACTCATGAAATTAGAGTGAAAGATAATATGCTAGGGATTTAATATCCATCTATGAAATCAAGGGCTGAGCTTGTTGCAACTTTTCCCAAAGCGACGGTGTTTAGGTGCCTCCTTAGCCCCATCTGCTTCCCATTTGTTTTGGTTTTTTTGTTCTCCTTGCATGGGCTTGTGTTGGCGGTCGACATCTGTTGGCTTTTCTTTGGTGTGACGGTTTTGTTGCATGTTCAATTGTTTTGCGCTGTTATACCTTCATCGAATTCAATGCATAGTTGATTTTATTCAGGTGGCTACCTTTGTGGTTGTGAACAAGGTCATGGCGACGCCAATGGTCGGCTTTTGCGAGTTGAAGATTAGGAAATTTTTTTTTTCTACCTTTTTGTTGAATGGGCTTTAGTTATCCCACCGTATTGGGCTTGTTTAATGTAATTGTATTAGACATTTTTCATTCAATAAAATTTCTTATTTTTCGACAAAAGAAGAAGAAAAAGCTTGCCTTATAGCAGAAGTCACTCTTTATTCTAGATTTAGATACATTTCTTCCTTTTCTTTTTTTCTTTTTTTTGTTTTTTTTTTTTTTTTTTTGAGATAATTTGTTTCAAACTTGTTATTTATGAGAGCGAAAGTTAAGATCATTTAACTATTAATAAGAAAAATATCATTAAACTGAAATACTAAAAGACAAAGATATGTTTAACTGTGAGTAGGTAAATAAAAATGACTGTTTACAAAGTGAGACATATATTTTTTTTCTTTGAGAAATAGTTGGTTTTTCTTTTAAAAGGAAAATAAATAGTTGGTTGTTGGGCATCAAATTTTCAATGGGTAAAATACAAAAAACTACCTCAACTATTGGTGTCACGACACTTTCATACCTCATCTTTTAAAATTGACAATGTCATACCTCATCTTACAAATTTGTGCCAATGTCAGACCTCCGTCATTTTTTCTGTTAAATGCTGACGTGGCCAGATACGGGACCCATTTTTTATTAAAAAATTAATTAAATATTTTTAAAAATTAATTAAATATTAAAAATTAAAAAAAAACAAAAAAAACCCATCAACCCGTGTCCCCCCTCCCCAACAACCTAGATCCCCTTATCTGAGTTCTCTCCCACCCAACCCCCCTCTCTCTCCTCTCTCTCTCTCTCTCTTCTCTCTCCCTGCAACATGCATCCCTAAAATCCCAAAACCCATAAATCTTTCCCACCCGTCCCCCCCCCCCCAACCTTTCTCTCCGATCCCACCGATGAGAACCCTACCTCTGTCATTGACTCTAGCAATGACAGCCACGACCCCCAATCGCCCCCAAACCCTAACTCTAGCCACAACCTCCATAACAACATTCCCTTATCCTTTTCGCCCCCGGAGTTTTCCCTCCGGCGATTTGCGAGAGAAAAACAAAACAATAATAACAACAACAACAATCCCAATAGAAAAACTCTCTGTTTTTCCTAAAAAATTCCCAGGTTTTCAGAGAAAATCAGAGGAGGTGCGAGAAATAGAGAGAGAGAGTTGTGATATGAGAGTGGCTCTCTTTGGTATGAGTTTCCAATAAATGGTGTATATAGGCGGGTCGGATGAGGAAAAGAGAATGGAGGTGAAGTCCATCGCGATGGGTTTTAAGAGGGCGAAGCCTCTGCACAATTTCAACTTGACTTGGTATTTGAAGTGGGGGAACCAGAAGCACCTGTGGTGCCAGAAGGAGAGCTCTGACGCCAGCGGGAGTGGCGGGGTTAATCGGCGATTGTCGGCTCAAAGGATTGAGAGCTCGCCGACGATGATGACTCAGGTGGGAATGGTTTATGGGTTTTGGGATTTTAGGGATGCAGGTTGCAGGGAGAGAGAAGAGAGAGAGGCGAAAGATGAGATAGTGGGTTGGGTGGGGGAGAACTCAGAGAAGGGGATCTGGGTTTTTGGGGTGGGGGGGGGGGGCACACGGGTTGATTGGAATAAACACCCCCAGTTGTGTCCTAGGAACAAGCACAACTGATTCTAAGGCATCGAAACCTTTGTCCTTCGAGTTCGTGGTTTTCTGATTCTTCCAGGCGTTACTCACGTGTACGGCAACCTGAGCGCGTGGAGGTCTCGATTGATTCCTTGGTCTAATTTTCCGCGAATCGCAATCCGACGGTGGCGATTGCGTCGGCGTAGAACCAATCGACAAAAGTGGATCTCTTCAATGTGTATTTTCGACGAGCCAGTTTGGAACGCAATGGCCAGATTAGTGGCAATGAAGCAGTCGCTTTCTTCCAGGGCTCCGGTCTCCCCAAACAGGTCTTGCGCAGTTTCTCTCTACATGTATATGCTTGTGTGTATATATATTATATATATTTATATGTATAAGTGGATGTATATTGTAGTGTGTATGATTATATTTGTGTAATTATAGTGGTTGATCGGGATTTATGCTGGTGGAAATGTGTTCCAAATCAGATTGATTTTGAACTTTTAGTCTAATTGTAGTTGAAGTGATTAATGTGAGCTTGGGATGTTGTAATTCGCTGATCTAAGCTGATTTTTATTTTGCGTCAGGGCTGTTCTTATTTTACCCGAGGGGTTTGAATTAGCCCCTCTCGATCGTAGTATAATGCGGAATTGATGTTCAAATGGTAGAAAATAAGAAGATGAAGGACTTAATACAACAGTTAGTGAATTTGAGATAGTTGTGTTATCAGGTCATTAATTTACTTTTTGGTGTATTCTTTCGACCTCAGGTGGTAAGCAGACTTTAGAAATGTGTTATAAACTTATATGACCCAAGAATTGTTTATTACATTACAATTGTGTAGTAGTGAAAACCTGCAGCATAAGATGACTACGGAATAGTTAGGATTGTAGCATACAAGGGAAATGTTCTTGGGTCATGACCACATTGACAAATAGGTTCTTGGAGCTTTATATTTGTTTTGCTGAAGGAATTTCCAAATCAAATGATAACCGGGGGCATAGTATGTTAAAGATTGATTATATGAGTGCACTTTCTCATTATCTTTTTGTCACAGAAGTTTGGATATGTTCTAGTTTTTGTTTTGGACGAGGATATGTTTTAGTAGGGGTGGAAAAAATTCCCAAAAATCCCGAACCGAACCGAAAAAATCCCGATCCCAAACCAAAAATTTCCCAAACCGAAATTCCCGAAATTTTAGGGATGCTATCCCGAACCAATCCCAAAATTTCGGTATGGGATTCGGGATTGGCTTCTCGATATTTCGGGAATCCCATACCAAACCGAAAATATATAATATTAATTATTATATATATATTTATACATATATATATATATTTATTATTCTTTTATAATTGATGCTAGGAGTTTCTAATTCATGCTCTGCAACGGCATGCCCTACACCTTGCATATTTTTCATGTTCTGTTTGATATTCATGTGGATTTTATTATTGATGCTGCCATGACTGATGATTTCAGAAGGCTTGATTCTTTTGTCTCTCAACAGATTGCAAAAAGGGTTTAATTAATTTGAATTTTGACTATGATAAAAACAGTCAGGCATGTCAATGTTCAATTAAATGGTTGTGTGAATGAAATGAAATTCCTAGTTCATGAATGTGTTCTTGAATTATATATTTGAAGAACAATTCATAATTTCATATTTCAATTTGGGATTCCTGATTTGTCCCAAAATCCCGAAAATATTTCGGGATTCCCGAAATTTGGGATTCTCGAAAATTTGGTTTGGGATTGGTCTTCAAATTCCTGTCCCGAAAAATTTTGGTTTGGGATTCGGGATACTAGTTTCGGTATGGTATCCCATACCGAACCACCCCTATGTTTTAGTTTAATATTTGTTGCTTATATTTATTGGCAGATTTGGGCACGTGCAGACCCGGGGCAGACTAGTTTCCTTGGTCAGGCAGAGTTTTACAATGCCCTTAGAATTGTCACTGTGGCACAAGTAAGAGAGAACTTACGCCAGAAATGGTGAAGGCAGCATGATATGGCCCGGCTGAAGCTAGAATACCTGCACCCAAGATAAATCTTGCAGCAACACCCGACTCATCGTTTGGAGATGATGTGTTTTCTGCAACCCCATCTTAACCAAAGCAGAATTTTCCTTCTGGCAACGTACTTATCTCATCAGCCATTGTACCAGTATTTGTTGGGACCCAGTCTTCAGCTAGCCCAAGTACCCAGGTTGGTAGCCAGCCTCAGCAGGCCCGGTCATTTGCAAAAGCAAACCAGCAGGTCTCAGACTAGTGCTACTAGAGTTTCATCCAGTGCTGGGAACTCTGCTTCTAGTCAGTCTCATATATCATGGCTTAGTTTGACGCAAACTGATGTTCAGAAGTACACCAATATTTTTGTGAAAGTTGACGCATACAGATGGGAAGATCACTGGTGCACAAACCCGCGACCTATTTCTGAAATAGGGACGACCAAGAGGTAGTCCTATTTTCTTTTTATTCATCTTTTGGCTTGTGTTTTACAGGCACAGGTGCCATATATGTGCTTATTGAAGCTCTTTTCTTCAGTTTGTTTCTCTTCATGTTAGCTGTTAACTGAACTGATGCATCTTTGCAAAACTTGTACTATCCCTATCCCGGAGTTAAGGTTGTTTATTTTTCCTCTTCTGGGTGGTGGATGATTGACAATGTTTTAGTTGTTGGAGTTTAGCTTGAATCCCTGAACATAACAGGCTAGATCAAGCATATTTTTCTGCGAGATGCTTTGCTGCTGGATGTTCGTCCTTTGCCTAATGTGTTCGTATTTAGATGTAAAAACTTACGTATGCCATGGGTACTTTGTAGATATAAAATTTTATTTGTAATTGGGTGTAATTTTTTGCTGGCCAATTGACATACAAACATCCATAAATACAATTAAATTGAGTCATGTGTGAATGTGCAATCTTGATTGATAGAATGAGTACCCATCCATCATGCCACATTATCTTGAAAGAGAACATGTCGTTATTGCATATGACATTTCGAGCTGATAGTGCAGGCATGAACACTGTCCATGGTTACAGTTATGAGCCTATGTAGATGACCACGAACATGACTTTTGGAAGCTATAAGTTGCCCTTTAACTTTTTGATCTTGTTTACATCTGTCAGTGGTTTTAAAAAGGGATTTTTGACAGCTGTTCAACCAATGTTCTACTTACCGAAATGTTTTCCTTCGCTGGAAGAACATGAAATATATTGGAGCACGGGGAGAAACGCGTTTCGCGCTGGAGCAGTGACCGCTGTTCCCCATAAATTTAATAACTTAAAATGTTCCATTGGCTCCAAGATCTCTGGGAAGTTTTCAAGTTTGGGGCACCAAGAGATATCGAGTTCCTTGAGATATTTCAACTTACAAATGCTCTTTGGAATACTTGAAAGCCCTTCGCAACGATGTAGATCAAGTATTTTGAGAGCATGGAGAAACTCGATTGATGAGTGTAGCTCTTGAATTGTTGTTTCACTTAAATTTAAAGACTTCAAATGTTCCATTGGCTCCAAGATCTCTGGGAAGTTTTCAAGTTTGGGGCACCGAGAGAGATCGAGTTTTTCGAGATATTTCAACTTACAAATGCTCTTTGGAATACTTGAAAGCCCTTCGCAACCACGTAGATCAAGTATTTTGAGAGCATGGAGAAACTCGATTGATGAGTGTAGCTCTTGAATCGTTGTTTCACTTAAATTTAAAGACTTCAAATGTTCCATTGGCTCCAAGATCTCTGGGAAGTTTTCGAGTTTGGGGCACCAAGAGAGATCGAGTTTCTCAAGATATTTCAACTTACAAATGCTCTTTGGAATACTTGAAAGCCTTTTGCAACCACGTAGATCAAGTATTTTAAGAGCATGGAGAAACTCGATTGATGAGTGTAGCTCTTGAACCGTTGTTCCACGTAAATTTAAAGACTTCAAATGTTCCATTGGCTCCAAGATCTCTGGGAAGTTTTCAAGTTTGGGGCACCAAGAGAGATCGAGTTCCTCGAGATATTTCAACTTACAAATGCTCTTTGGAATACTTGAAAGCCTTTCACAATCATGTAGAACAAGTATTTTGAGAGCACGGAGAAACTTGATTGATGAATGTAGCTCTTGAACCATTGTTCTACTTAAATTTAAAGACTCCAAATGTTCCATTGGCTCCAAGATCTTTGGAAAGTTTTCAAGTTTAGAGCAGTAGGAGAGATTGAGTTCCTTGAGATATTTCAACTTACAAATGTTGGTTGGTAGACTCACAAGTCTCTTGCAATCAATCAATGATAATTTAGTTATATCCCTCGGAAGCTCAGAAAACTCGGCAAGAGATGTGCAGCCATCTAGATTAAAAGAACCAGAGACTTTCAGCTTACACGTGTTGCTTGGAAGTTTCTCAAGGTCTCTGCAATGACTTATATCCAAGTATTTAATATTTCCTGGCATCTCTGGAATTTCAACCAAACTTATACAGCCACGGAGCGTTATGTCCTTCATTTTTAGACTCCCAGAGAGATTTGGAACTTCAGTTAGATTTACAGAGCGAAACAGATTGAGCACTCGTAAGTTGACAAGTCTCTGTAATAAGAGTAGAGAGAAATATCAAGCATTAATATAATTTCTACACTAAATTTTATACAAGAGTTAGAATAGGCATATAATATACCTGGTCTTCTTTCCAGAGCTTCTTAACTCGGCTCCATGGCATATGAAGCTCAACTAGATTTTCCGGCGAGAATTTTGACGGCAAAGATTCCATTGGATATCCTTCCCAGTCAAGGTAGCGAAGAGAATCGGGAAGGTCTATAGAACCAGGAAGTTCTATAGAAGCGGTGGATTTGAAGCCAAACATATGAAAATTATGCACAAATAACATTCTTAGGTTTGACATCAGTTTGAAGTTCCATGGTCGTCGCTCTTCACTCTTATGCCATTCAAGGAATATGGCTTCAACAATTGGACTTTCCTGACAATAAGAACAAAGTTTAAATGTATATATTTTCAACATGTTAAAATGTAATGCTTATTTGGAAAAAGAATTCAACAAAGTTATAGAATAATCTAGAGTATTTGCGATGGTAATCATGTACAAGTTTCTAGTAAAATATCCAAGATAATTTTAATAAAATAACAAAGACTACATAGACTTCCTATCACAATTAAAAAATAGTAGAGTTATTCTTATCACTTAGTTGTACCATCACTTGTACTATCTTTCTAATAGAGGTAGGACCCGTCATTGCATGGGGGTCTCATCTCTACTAGAGAGATGATACAAATAATGGTATAAATAAATATTAAGAATAACATTTTTGCAATAAAATTCAATCAAATTAATATTTTAAGAATCTGACTTCTTTTTATAAATGAGTTTTATTTTGTTGTGTTATCTTCTCAGGTTTGCTATTTATTTTTTCTTTAAAAAAAAGAAAAGAAAAGAAAGCATTGAATGCATTTGGCTCTTACCATGTTACCATTCAGTACACGATAGATTTCCTCATTCGTGAACAACCTACTGCGTTTACCAGGATCTTCAATACATTGTTCCTGAACAATTGTCCTTCCCATTTCTTGTAGCGAATCGTGCATCCCTATGACTTTCCTTTCCCATCTGTCTGAATAAATTGATATGAGAGACCTATCACGGAGATTTCTAATTCCCGATATCGCAAAGAATCCACGAACACGTAACATTCGTTCTACCGCCTTCACTTCCTTCCCTTTATGAAAACATGCTATATCCAGAAATATCTGCTTCTCATTTTCTTCCAATCTATTGTAACTTATTCTCAACACTTTCTGGATATCTTGTCTAGGAAATCGTTTCAATTTGTTGAATTCATCTTCCCAGTCTTCTTTGCTCTGGCAATTGAAGAACAAGGACCCCAGAACTATAAGATCTAAGGGAACGCCTCTGGCATAATCCACGATCTTTTTTGACAACTCCTCATAATCTGTTCTACGAGTAGTGTTATTCTTGAAAGCATGCAAACAGAAGAGCTGAAGAGCGTCATCTGATTTTAATACCTTAACTTCGTAGATTTTCTCCTCTTCAACAATTTGTCTAAGTGTGTCCTTATCTCTACTTGTGATAATGATTCTACTTCCAGTGCCATACCATTGAAGATCACCAGCTAAACGTTGCATTTGCAGTGGACTACTCACATCATCAATAACGATGAGGACATTTGTGCTTCTAAGCCTCCTTCGAACAATAGTTGATTCTATGGATAGACTTTCTCCCTTGAAAATGTCACTTAGAAGTTTCTTTTGCAGGCAATCTAGTCCATCTGGTTGTTCTAATTTCTCCCTGACATTTTTAAGAAAACAAGAAGCTTCGAATTTAGAAGAGAGTTTGTGAAATACAGTTTCAGTAAGGGTGGTCTTGCCAATACCACCCATGCCCCAAATACCTATAGTGATGCAGGCGTCCTTTGAGTCAATGCCCAGCCGCGATTCAATTTGCTGAATGCGGCTTTCAATTCCAACCAGGCCATCTAAATCACATGATGATTCACAATTCAAGTTTGTCCAAATTTGATCGACAACATTCTTAATTAGATCTGCCTCCGTCCTGGCATATATACATGTATGATTATGTAGAAAAAAACAATAGTTAGCCTTAAAGGCTAGTCGCAAAAGTTGTCACGTAAATAAAGAAATATACTAAAAGTTTTAACACCGTATATTTGTGCAAGAAAAGAAATCTTGTGTATTCTCTCCTCAAAATAAAATTAAAGCAATATTAAAATAGAAATACATTTGTTTTTAGGTAAACAACAATACAACTAAGTAAGCTTGCATATTATAGCATTCAACCCACTATCTCTTTGAAGAAAATGAACTTGTCCCCCTAATGAAATCGTTAACCCTAAAGAGAAATTGGATAAGTTTAAATGAACTACAACTAATTACATGCTTGGCCAAGGAACAGGGCCACCCCTCCCCAAACCCACTAAAAAATGGGAATTTCGTAATTACCCTAGCCTAAAGTTGGGAGGGGTGGCCTTGTAGCTAAGCTATAGGGCAATTTCAATTGGGGATTTTGATTTATTTACAGAATTTCTATCCTTTGAAAAAAAAAATTCCTATACGCGGGGGTATGATTGGTGTGTTTGAGCCTAAAGTGGGCTTTGTTATGGGTGGTTAACGAGGAAGGCCTGATTAGATGTTCAAATGACCGTAATGCCTATCCAGATTTTAGATCCAACGGTCTGAGGTAAAAGGTGGGTAGGCAATCATCATTTTAGAATAGGTAGAGGTGCGGGTTGCAGTCGGTGAGATTGAGGAAAGTGTTACAGAGAGAGAAGGAGAGATGGAGCCGTGAACATGGGCAAGTCTGACCTGTTCGTACGAGACTTGCGATTCGGTAAGTGGAAGGGTTACATAGAGAGAGAGAGAGAGAGAGAGAGCTGCTTTATTGAATGTTTGAATGGGTTATAGGTTGCAATACTATTCATTTGTATAAGATTGAATGTTTTGGGTGTTCAATTAAACGACCCTAAATTTCACCAAACATGCTGCTTTATTGTATATGTGAAATTCCGTTCCTAGAATTTCATTATTAATTATGCATTTCATTATTTAATTCTGTATTTCGTATTTACATTATTTTTATTTTATTCTAATTCCGTCAATTGTAGAATTTGAATTGTATAGTTACAAGGTATGACTTTTTGTAATTAATCTTTCAAAATTTGTAGACCTTTCGAGGTCACAATTAGTGTTTTCGAATCAAACTCAATTCCATGAGCGCGTGGGCGAAAGCCGTTCGAAAATTGGAGTGATAACGAAGACGTTATGGACATTTGAAGTTCGATTAAGAAAATAAAATAAAAATGTTTAATATATAACTAGAAGCTCCCATTAATTTAGGGGAAGGGCTAATTGGAGAGAGAGCGAGTGATAGTGAGGTGACCAATCAGAGAAGAGAGGAGGGAACCTAGCATGACCCATTCCCCCTTCGTGACCCGACTTCTGACTCGAACCCTCTGCAATTTTCGGCATGATTTCTGTCAATTTTTTTTTGGCTTTTCTCGACCTTCCACCACAAGCTCGACGAGATTTTTGCCTTGGTTTCATGAAAAACTCCACTAACAGGTCCGTGAATATTCGATGGCGATTGGCCGTTTCTGAAGCTTGTTCCTTCGACTAGCGCCACCACTAGACCGTCCTTGAACCTAGAAACAAGGCCCAAGCATTGGTTGGAGTTTCGGGGGTTCGAAGAACACTCATCTTAGGATTCTGATGGTCTTGGGTGATTTCAGGCCACTTCTCGGCCAAATTGGACCTTGACCTAAGCGACGATAGTACATGACGTCTTGATATTCATACTAGGGTGCGCTAACGTGGACTTTAGCACTGATTGTACATGTGACAGGCTTGAGTAGATTATGAGGAACAGGTGGGGTAGAAGTGCAAAGATCAGAGACTTGGAGCGATTAGGTTACTCCTTTATCCCTCCTTGTATTACTTCTTTTGTGATTTATATTTTGAGCGTTTATAGGCATGTCTTGGCCCTAGTGAGGGTTGTGTATTTTGAGAGTACAAATTTGTATATATTTTGAGGGGGAGAGCCCACTATCATGTTTATTTTGAGGTATTAGTTCTAGTATTTCATTTTGTATCTTGTAAGTAGTTAAGACATCCCCTACGTACCTGTGTCATGTGTCAATCCTGGACGTATGTCGGGATCGGGGTGTGACAACTTTTGGTCGTATCAAAGCTTAGGTTTAGGTTCCCATACCTTAACCTTAGAGTGAGGAAGCCTTGGGTAGGTTGGGTACTAGACCTTAATTAGGTCGTGTGGATTCGTTTCTCTAATTTTGTGTATATGCTTATGTTGAATTCTTCTATGCACTAGATACATTATGACGACCCCACATGGTGTTGTTCGGCCGCTTGGGGATGATGTCCTCGACACTTCTGCTATTGATTAAAAGGCTAGCCACGATTATGATGGACCCGATGGTGCTTTTTAGGCCATTGATGATTTGACACAGTTGATGCAGGCTCACGTACGTGCGACTTCTAGTAGGGAGAAGTCTCTATATGGAGAGTTTCGTACTTATAAACTGCTTTCATTCGATGGTAGTACTGATACGTGAACGACCGAGTCTTGGACCAATTGGATCACCAGAGTTTTCACCGTTCTGCGATGCTCACCTGAGGAGTAGGTAGACCTTGCAGCGTATATGTTAACAGGTAAGCTTACGAGTGGCGGCATATCACTCGTTCTTTATTGGTAGTCGGAGGACCCTTAACTTGGGAGTAATTTCATACTGCAGTCTTTGGGCAATATTTTTCAGAGTCATTTTGGGATGAGCTGGAGGCAGATTTCGCCATTATTGAGCAGGGCACCACCACAGTTGCTGATCATGTGGCCCGTTTTACTTAACTTTACTGTTTCTCTCAACACCTCTATGAGGAAAAGAAAACGAAGAAACTTATTATGGCATTCAAGCCTAGTATAAGGAATCTGTTATCTGTTTAGGGATTGCCTTTATTCGCTCAGGCGATTAATCGTGCATGCACAACAGAGCTTAATGAGGAATGGAGGCACGAGCGAGTGGAAAACAAAGGAAGAGGGCCTGGTTAGAGGGCCAGTCATCTGATGCGTTTTTGGGTATATCCAAAAAATGCCACAGATTCTCATTTGGTGGTTCTCATGGATTGTCACATAGAGAAAATCAGGGTACTTTTCATGGAGATTTCCAAGCTAAGTTAGAGAAGGCTCTCAACATTCTGTTGAGGTGAGTCCTCAGAGTCGTTTTCGAGGAGGTACTCATAGCGCATATATGAGCGGACCCTAAACTTCTTCTGAAAGGCATTCAAAAATTTATTTTAGAGGATCTCGATACCAGCCACAGAAGACACTTCCATGGATTTGTACTCACTGAAGACGCCGACACTATAACGCATGTAGAGATGGTTCTAAGACTTGTACCACTGCGGCGAGACTGGTCACTATTTTAAGATTGCCCACAGACTACTGCTAATAGAGCTGGTAGACCTGCTACTAGTGCTGGGGGCTCAGTAGCATATTCGGCGTAGAGTAGGCCTTCTAGAGCACATTCTGACTTGGTTCAGTAGAGGATTGTACAGCAAATGACCAGACAATAAAGCGACAGACAGCTTGGAAGAAGTTCTCAGCAAGTTAAGGCCTAGAGCAATGGAGTTGGGACGTCTCAAATGGGTTCTCAGCGAGTTGGCAAGGTTTGTGCACTATCCACTTTGGAGGCCGAGGCTGAGCTTAACATAGTCACACGTACTATTCATCTTGATTCCCTCCCTGCTAGGCCATTGTTTGATCTTGGAGCTGAGAATTCTTTTACATCAAGTACTTTTGTTAAGTCTTTGGGTAAACCTATTGAGACGATGGATGTGACATACTCCATTTCCTCTCATTTTTCGAGGCCTCATATTGTTGACCAAGTAGTTTGATCTTGTGAGGCTTAGGTGGATCAGGGTGAGATGTCAGCAGATTTGATGATTATTCTGATGCGAGATCTAGATGTCATTATAGGCATGGATTACCTATCGATATATCGCGCGAATTTCGTGTTTTTAGAAAGTGATAACCTTTCGACCACTTGACAGGCCTCCGTTTTAGTTTGCTAAAGTTCATAAACCTATTCCACCACCAGTAATGGTATCAGTTGCCAAGGCTAGACGACTCATGAGACACGGATGTCAGGGTTATTTGGCTCATGTCATACCCGTTGAGCAAGGAAATAGTGAAATTAATGCCATTCCAGTAGTTAGAGAATTCCCTAACGTATTTCTTGCAAAGTTACATGGCTTGCCTCCAGTAAGGGAGATTGAGTTCACTATTGACCTTATGCCAGAGACAATACCTATTTCTAAGGCTCCATATCGTATGACGCCTTCGAAACTCAGAGAGCTCAAAGTGCAATTACAGAAGTTAATGGATAAAGGTTTAATTCGACCTAATGTTTCACCTTAGGGTGCTGCCATTCTCTTTGTGAAGAAAAAAGACAGATCATGTGTTTGCGCATCAATTATCGTGAGCTTAATATAAATATAGAGTGCGAAATATGTACCCGCAATCGAGGATTGATGACTTGTTTGACCAACTTCAAGGTGCTCAATATTTTAGTAAGCTCGATTTGCGGATTGGGTATCATCAATTGAGGATCCAAGATGATGACATAGAAAAGATAGCTTTTCTGACTCGCTATGGTGCGTTAACGCAAAGTCTAGGCACTGATTATGCATGTGACAAGCCTGAGGAGATTTACAAGGAGCCGATGGGGGTAGCAGTGCAAGGATCAAAGATTTAGAGTGATTAGGTTGCCCCTTTATCTTTCTTTGTATTATTTCTTTTGGAACTTATATTTTGACCGCCTATGGTCATGTCTTAGCCCTAATAAGCGTTGTGTATTTTGAATGTACAAATTTGTATATATTTTGTGGGGGAGAGTTCACTATCGTGTTTATTTTGTGGTATTAGTTCTAGTATTTCATTTGGTATCTTGTACGTATCTTAAGATGTTCGCTACGTCTCTATGTCACGTGTCGATCCTAGACGTATGTCGAGATCGAGGCGTGACAATTATATGTTCATATTCTTTAGGAAGTACATACTGCAGAGTTGTAATTAGTTTCAGGTCAAGGATTGTGATGGGTGGATCAAAATTGGAATTATTATATGCTATTTGGTTGCTTGCTTCAACTATGATAAGAGCAGTGACACAAAAAATGAAAACCCAGTCATTGGTTTACGTTTTCCTCCTTCTCGTTTACCAGTCGAGTTGGAAGGGTAATTGCTACTCATTTTCTACATTTTTAAGATCTTATAAATCTTTTTCAACATTTATGCATATTTTTCTCCCAGTTTACAATTCAGCAAAATGAAAGTTATATTACCATTTCCAATAGGATGAAAATAATCACATTAGTTAACCTTTATTCATACTTGGATGCAGATAATTGTGATAGAAAAGTCTATTGTGGTTAGCTTAATAGAAAATGTGATATGAACAATTTGAAAAGTCCACTTTCTTTTTATATGTACGCTTTAACATATGTCAGTTTTAATTATTCATGAGCAAAAGAAATTTTATTTTTCTTCTCCCGGTACACTTAAATTCGTACATCAACATATATTTGTTTTTAACCTATATTAAATAGGGAATTGCTATTAGCACTCAAAAAATCTCATTTTACTCTCTAAACTTTCTATATTTAGAAAGAAAAATACACTTTTGAAGAATGTAGAATGAGATTTTTAGAGTGTCAATAACACTTCCCTATTAAATATTAAATGCACTTGAGTATTCAATTGTTTTTAGCAATTAAGAGTCTCTCTTCAATAATTACACTTTTATTCCGTCATCTTCACTAAAATGTCTTAGATTTACATTAACAACTTCTATTTTTTAATTTGTAACATAGAAGCATGCATATGAGGGCAAAACAAACTGTGTGTTGACCAAGGAAGTTTGAAAAAGCTGATTAGTATTTGTGTAAAAATAATAGTAAATATGATTGTACATATATGTGCAGATAGAGTTGCTGTAAATATGTGTAAATAGAGTTGTTGTAATAAGTTTGAAAAGCTAATTGAACTGCATTCTACATCTGTTTTTTATGCAAAGACATTATATTTTGTGATTGTACCGTCTATTAAAATCTTCTTTATGATTTGATTTAATTACATGACAAATTTTTCGACCTGTAGCAACGGACGGGCATGAAGTCTTGTTAAAACCAAAATCTCCCCGCAATTGCATTGCAGCAAAGCTACATTGCATTGCATTGCAGCAAAATCTAATCAAATTCTCACAAGTTTAAAGAAAATTTATAATTTTATACAAGTTAAATAATGAGTTACTTACCCGTGATTGTTTGAATAATCAAACCCAGACAGATCGGCTGCAGCCTTCAAAGCAACCCTCCACTTGTGCACCTTATCAATACTGTCCTTGAAACGTTTTTCAAGTTGAGCAAATGCATCCGCATAACTCCCGTGTTGTTTTCGTACATCAGATGGATTGATGTCATAGAATACGGGTATAACCTTCTGGCCATATCTTTCCTTGCATTCGAGTATATGCACAAGCTCATCCAAACACCATCTGGAAGAAGCATAGTTTTGTGAGAAAATGATCACCGAATGCGTGGATTTCTCGATTGCCTCTAGAAGGGCAGGTCCGATTTCTTCTCCTTTCTGAAGTCTGTAATCTATGTAGGTTTCAATTTTCTTCTGAAGTAAGGCAGCATGAAGATGGCTGGTAATACCACGGCGGGTGTCCTCACCTCTGAAACTGATAAACACATCATACTTTTCCCGACGAGGGGGGATATTAGCTACAATACCATCATCATCATCATCTCCAGCAGCAGCAGATGACGGAGAAGAAAATGTTAACCATCTGCAGCAAATCTGCAAGATCGTCATGATACACTCCATCTGTTTTTGTGTTTCTCTCAAGGTACTAACAATAGACTTGTAAATTGTGAGTAAAAAAGAAGAGAAAGAGGCAAAGAAAGAGAACGGAATATTTGAGATGAATGAGATTTATTAAGTTATTGAAAATTTTATGGTGCTCAGGCTTTCCTAGAAAATCATCGAAGAGAGGAAAAAGAAGAAACTGAAGCACCTTTACCTTCCGCGTAGAAAGCTTCAACGCGTTCACACATGATGAAGAAAGACAAATTAAGGGAACATCATCATCATTTCCGCGTAGAAAGCTTCAACGCGTTCACACATGAAGAAAGACAAATTAAGGGAACATCATCATCAACAACCCCCTCCCCCCTCCCCCTTTCTCTCTCTCTCCCGGGGGGGCCTTACGCGTTTTATGTACAAACTTTGTTGCTCGATTTCATCTTTTGATCAGCAGAGCATCCAATGTAATCTGATCTCAACAAGGACTACTGTAGCATTTGGGTGAAGTTGGTGCGCTATTAGTCCAGGATGCCACGATGGGTTGATGTAACATGGATGGACATCATATCATTCAATTTGTATTGACAAGGTGCCAGGACGCAACAATCAATCACCAAAACAGAGTAATTTATAATATACATGATTTCAATAATAAGCACTCTGTATGTTGTGTATCATTCACGCAGCGTTTGAAGAAAGTGCTGGTTTAACCCATGCATACGGGTTCAAATCCTTCATCTTTTAAATTATTATAATAATTTTGAACCCTTCTCCTTCCTCTTAATAATAATAAATTCTTTAAAAAAAAAAAAAAAAAAAAAGAATTCTTCACAATTTTGTGGACTGAAGCAATGTAAATTATTGGGTTTTTTAATACAACTGCACTATGTTGAGGAAATTTGAGCAAATCGCTCAATCAGTTGGTTACAATAAATTAGTATCAAATTCACTATACCTGAAAGTCGGTCATAAAATTACGCACTTAATCACCTACAAGTAAAGAAGAATATTACGCCATTTAGTACTACGATTTAGTGGTATTCCTCTGTACTTGTAAGTGAGAGATTTTAGATTCGATTCTTGCTAACAGAGAATTTGAATCATATTATTGCTAACCCATTGTGATGCTTAGTCCATCCCGACCCTCTCAGTGTAGATAATATCATTTGCTAAAAATAAAAACTACTATTTTTTATAGTGATTAAATGAGGGATAAAATAATTGTTAAGGCAAAACAACATTTCGACAAATTAATTGATGTGGACTAAGCACTAAGGAGTATATAATAATATTAATCAAACCACATTATTGCTTAGGCGTGGGTACGGTGTGGTTTCAGTCTCAAATAGGAACTTGAACTAGAAAATATCAAAGGTTTGGTTTGGTATGGTTCCGCTTAAATTATTACCAAAACCGTATGATTTGGTTTACACTGTTCAGTTTATGCCGGTTTACAATTCCAAATATTTGAATATCAAATCAAAATGGTATCCAAAGTTGACTTGTTTTCTTTTTGTGGTTTTTGCATGCTTGCATTTAAATACAACTTTTAAAATGGTTATACAAAAGTTACAAACATATCATTTTCAAACACTAAATCAAAATGCAAATGTCCTTGACACCAAGCCAAAAAAAAAAAAAAAAAAGGAACATATAAATTCATAATACAAATACATCCATTGTGTAGTAAGAATGTTTAGTACGAATACAATAATTTAAGACTAAAAGGAACTTATCAAGCGATTTAAAAAATGCCCAGGAAAAAGGGAAATAAAAAAACAGGATGCAAATCACCTTAAGATCATTCTATCCAAGAAAAATATGAAATTGAAATCTGAATTTCAAATTTGGAGACCTAGGATAGAAAATGACCCCTTTTTTATTTATTTTTTTATTTTTATTTTTTCTATTATCAATTATGTGCCTTATCTCAATAGGTGAACATGCAAGTGAAAAACCTAATTGCGAAATGCTCCCATGTAGCCGCACTAGTTGAAACCAGTTTGGTTTTCACTTTTCACCACTCATTTAATGATATCTGTATGCAACTATTAAATTTAATTAATTATTTATATTCATGGTTCAGTTCGGTTCTAAGCAGTTCTATCAACATGAAAACTAGAATCAGAATCGGTATGAAAGGTTCAGTTCCGTTGTTGAACCTAAGTTGACTATTTTTTGTCAACCCGATTTTTTAGGGTTTATTTTGTTGCGGTTTAATTTGGTTTCGCAGTTCTACGGTTTTTATGCCTATTGTGAGATTTAACCTATTTTCTCATCCTTTAATATAGATAATATAGTTTCTTCAAGATAGTCATGATACACTCCATCTGTTTGTGTTTCTCTTAAGGAACTAACAATAGATAACTTGCGAATAAAAAAGAAGAGAAAGAAGCGAACGCTTGATAATGTATCAAAAGAAAGAGAACGGGATATTTGAGATGAATGAGATTGATTTAAGGATTTATGGTGCTCAGACTTTCTTAGAAAATCATAAAAGAGAAGAAAGAAAAATGCCCCGACTCAAGCACCTTTACCTTCCGCGGACAAAAATTCAACGGGTTCACACATGAAGAAAGACAAATTAAGGGAACAACATCATCAGTTCATACCTTTTAGTAAAGCTAGCAGACTACTCACAAGTCACAATGAATGGTAGTGGCAAACACACAGTTAGCCAATAGGCTCCGCTTCCGGGCCTTACGCGTTTTATGTGCCAACTTTGTTGCTCGATTTCATCTTCAGCAGAGCATCTAATGTAATCTGATCTCAACAAGAACTACTGTAGCATTTGGATGACGTACTTGCTGTTGTGTTAGATCTCTTTGTGGGAATCTAGATGATCAATCAATCGTATCCGTTTATGTATTCTAGTTTTATTTAGGTATTATTTGTGTTTAATTTTAAATAAAAAATTTAAAATAATTTCTAACTACACGATGTACGATGAACAGACAAAATTGATTGATCATCTGGATCCCTACAAAAATTGATCCAGATAAGATCCTAATCCGTGCATTATTAGTCTAGGATGCCACGATGGATTGATGAAACATTGATGGACATCATATTATTCAATTTGTATTGAGAAATTATATAGCAGCTTCATGCTCCAACTTGTAACAATCACCAACACCACTGACAAGGTGGCCAGGATGCAACAAACAATCACCAAAACTTGCAACAAACCACAAAATTATTTTCGATACATCATACACACGACTTTCTTGTTTTCTCAGAAGTGATACATACGACTTTAATATCTCTACAAATTCAATACTCGCCAAAATGTGCCAATAGCCAGCAACAGATTTCATAGATCATGTGTTGATTTTTTTTTTTTTTTTTTTTCCAGAGATAGTATCTACATAGTGATGCATACTATATAGGATCTCGATAATAAGCATTGAATTTTGTGTATCATTCACGCACTGTTTGAAGAAGGGTGTTGGTTTATACTCATGCGTCCCGGGTTCGAATTTCTTCTCTTTTAAATTATTGTAATAATTTCAAACATACGATCTAATGATATTCATCTTGACTTGTAAGTGACAGGTCTTAGATTCGATTCTCGCCAAAGGCAAATTGAACCATATTATTGGTAACTCATTGTGAGGTTTGACCCATTCCCCTCCTTCTTTTTATGATAGATAATGTTGTTTGTTAAAAAAAAGAAAAAAAATAATTACACTAACACCCCTTCAGGTTTATTATGTTTCACAAAACTCCCTCACGTTTGAAACATAACACTAATACCCCTTAACATTTTAGTTCATTTTCACATAACTCCTTCTGGTCAAATTTGCTCTCATTATAATTAAAAAATAAATAAAAAGAAAATTAATGAAATATAGTTATCTTTCTTCTTCTACCATGGACTTGGATCTTCTCTAGAATTTGGCATAAAAAAATTCAAGGTTTCCAACGACAACTTGCATTTCGTGAGGAAGATTTTTGGGAATTCGATGGTTTTCATATTTTTTATGGTGGAGAGTGAGGCCAAGCTTGTGGAGAGGCTGATTGATCGAAAAACCAAGATGAAGGAGTAGCTTCATGGGAGGACGGCTAGGGAGGAGGCGAAACATGTTAAGAATTTTTATTATATTGTGGTGAATGTTGAGGGGAGGCCCTAACCCCAATATTGATTTTTAAAAAAGTTGTTTTTATTTTTAAAGTAATTAAAAATCAGGGCAAATTTGTCTTTAAGAAAATGTTTTAAGGTGATGTCAGCCCTAAAAGGGTTATGTAAAAGTCAGTTAGAATCTCAAGGGGTGTTAGTGTTATGATTCAAACGTTTGGAGGTTTTATGAAAACATGATAAGCCTGAAAGGGTGTTAGTTTAATTAATTGACAGATGAAATGATTGTTAAGGTCGAACAACATTTTGACAAATTAATTGATGTACTAAGCACTAAGGATTATAAAATAATATTAATCATTTGTTTCTTGACAAAAATAATAGTATCCAACTATTTATTGATGTAATCATGAATTTATGTTTTAGGTGACTTGTGGGTAGGCCTGGCAATTTCTGACACGACCCGATAACCCGACACGACACGACACGAAATTAACAAGTCTTTGGGTCGACACGATAACGAATCAGGTCATTATCAGGTAACCCGATAAGCACCTGTTAAGATAACGGGTTGATTCGGGTATACACGTGGGTAACACGATACACGATAAGCAGAATATTATTTTTATAATTTTATAACCCTAAAAAAATACTGTAATAATTATATACATTAATTTTACAATTTTATACCCCTAAAAATTATAATAAATATATATATTAAATTAACTATAAAGTTTATAATAATTATAATAATTATACCCCCAAAATATTAACTATCTATAATAATTATATTTATATATATATATATATTAAATTTTATAAAAACTATAATAATTATTAATTAATATGCATGATGCGTTGCATGATTTGCATCCATTGATGTGATTTCTTTCCATTCAATTTCTTGCCGTTGCCGCCCTTTTTGAAAAAAAAATGGAGGGAAAATGAAAATGTTAAGAAAAGTTGAAAATTAAACAAAAAAGTGAGGGAATTAGGGAAAAATGTTGGAGGGAAAAGTGAAAATGATAAGAAAAAGTTGAAAAGGAAACAAAAAAGAGAGGGAAAAATGAAAATTAATAGAAGTGGTGAGAATTTTTTTTTTTTTTTTTTAAGTTATTAACTTTTTATCACACATATGACATAGCTCACTATTTTTATAATGACACACGTGATATACTATTCCGTGTACCAGTCAATTATAATTTATACGTACAAAATAAATAGATTTAAATCTACTTAA